TGTTTTTTATCAATGGTAAACTTAAAATTTATGATTGAGTTCAACAAAATAAACAACCTTAAAAGTTAAAAGATAAGAATTGTTGGCTTTAGTTGAATAACAGTAATAATGTCTTCAAATAAGCTGCTTTAAAGCCACCACCGACCATAACGCATGTTTTTTTTTTGTGCCACTTCAGTAGAAAGCAGAACTTAACATCAGAATATTAGTATCTTAGCTTCTTCATCATTAGTGGCTTTGTTTTTAATAATAGAAGAAAAAGAAAGAGAAAGAAAAAAGTGAAACGTAATGAGAAAGAGTGAAAGAGAGATTACAAGATATAAAAGATATATGTTGAGAAAACACAGGACAGCACACCGACTTCTTGGCTCCACACCTACAAAAACAATGATAGCAAAACCACGGCAACAAAAATGCATATCTATATAATTATAATGACTATTGCCTTGCTGAAAACCATACCCATACACATATATAAAGTTATACATATACACATAAAACCATGATGCATGTTGATTATTTATGAGAATTCCCTCAGAAAGTAGGAGTTCAGAACTCAAGACGGCTGCTGCTCACAACGACTCATCAGCAGGTAAAACTCTCTCACTTTTACTTTAACATTATTCTGTATCATTTATTTCAGATTCAGCCAGCTTACTGCTTTTCAGTGTTTATAAGAGGAAAACTCTGATTAATCAAAGTTAAACACAAAATGTCAAAGTTCATTACAACTGGCCCTTTAAGGGCCACCGTAACGCTCATGTGGCCCTCGGTGAAAATAGGTTTGACCAAACCCCCCCCCCCCAGGTTTAACTGATTCAGTTACAAAGCAAAACAAAAACATTGATCCATGTCATTATGATACGCCCGATGTGGATCGATATCGTATCAGTCGCTGACTTGTGAAATCGTATCGTGCCCTCCATACCTAGAAACATTGTATCATCTGCCAATCATGTTGACATAATAGGGGGAGACCGGGGACAGAAGCAACAAGGGACGGTTGCAACACGTCATTTTTCTCCAAACAGAAACAAGCTAGAGTGATGACACTCACACTGTACATGCTCAGTTAGATGTCCCACCTTGTAGAGAAAAAGTAAGCAGATTAAAAAACTGCTCCAGGATTTATTTGAAAAAATGTTTTTGAGGAACCAAAGTATTATTATTTTTTGCCCATTTTTATTTTTGTTGTACTGTTGTCACTGTTTTTGTGATTCAGCTCAAACTTATACGGTTTAAACAAGTGAAATGTTGACTTTTAACTAATATAGTTAACATGTATCCAGATCAGCTTATTTAGCTACACATGAGGTTTTATCATGGCTGACAGGATAAATTCATATAAAAACAGAGCATATACAGATGATATTAAGATGTTTAAATTAAGTTTACACTTGAAAGGGAATTGGGTATTCATGACAGTTTTATAGTTTAAAACATAAAAGTGTTTAAGATGTATTTTCTACAGTTGTTGTTTTCAACAATGGTTTTAAAATCCCAGTTTCTTTGTAAATGTTGCACAATGTAGGCGTACAGTGACAATAGGCATAACAAAATTTAACTGCCCCACAAACTGTTCTATTATTCTTGTCTCTAAAAGCCAACTGTATTTTTATCAGTTAGAGTCTTTGACATCTGTATATAAGGTCTACTCATCAAAACAAATCTATATTCATTTGATCAAAAAGAATAAATAAATAACACTGTAATATCTTTATAACTTACAGTTTTTATTAATTTAGCAATAATATAAAAAAATAATAAAACTTTTATTTACAGTGAAATTTATTGTATTAATAATATGTTGTAACCACCCCCAAACAATGTTGCAACTGTCCCCATCCCCGGGGTCAGTTGCAACATCTGACTTTTCATTTTCAAATGCAAGTTGTGAAGAATGTACATCCTTTAATCATCTATTAATGGTTTTGACTATTAACAGACAGATGTAAGTTTTATTGTATTAAAATTTGGTTTGTCTAATTCAAACCATCTCTGAGTAACAGAGTCAAATGCAAAAAGTGTTGCAACTGTCCCCGGTCTCCCCCCTACTGTATCGTGATAAAGCTGCTGATTTACACCCCAAGAATAAACCAAAATGTCTCTTATAACATAAACAAATCCTCTGAGTGCTTCACCTTTACTGGGATGATGACGGCAGCAGGAGCCGAGGCTGCAGGAACTGGAGCTTCAACAGTTAAGATCCCATCGACAGAAAGCGTGGACGTCAGTGTGGTGACATCAACCTCAGCTGGAAGCCTGACAACCAACCAGTTTGATTCATGTGATCACCGAGAAACGGGAGCTTTTTAAAGACGGGGTGCGGTTGAAATCTGTGTTTTCTCACCTGTATTTTCTGGAGAAGCATCTGGTGATAAATCCGTGCTCGTCAGGCCTCTCCTCGTGGCTCCCTGGGGACAGATTACCGTTGAAAGGAAAGATGTGCGAGGACACAGAGAAACCGCTCAACACCGAAATTATTTGATGTCACAGAGCTGTGGTTTTAATTTCCCCAAGCACATTATTTGAACAGCTTCTTCTTTTGTTACAGTCAACTCTTTTTCCTCCTCCTCATCAGTGTTTCGTTTTATTTTATTGGGTATTTAACTGTGAGGAAAAGTCTATTTATAAAACTCGTTAACATTTAACGATGATAATGTTAGATTTTTAATGTTTGATCGACCCCTGCTGTTAACGAAAGAGACACGTTAAAGTGTTTAACTACCTCGAACTTCCAGAAATCCACCTCCGACTCTCAGGGAGATGTCAGCGGGGCGGAAGTGGGTCAGGTCCATGTTGACCCTCCACTTCCTGACTTTCTGTTGCGTCGGCTCCGAGACGTACGGCACAAACAGCGGCGCTGACAGGAACCCCGGCCAGAAACAGGCAGCCTGGCGACTCTTGAGCCCAGGATCCCCCGGCTCCAGGACGGGGGGCAGGCCCACATCTGGGTAGAAAATCTGACTAAACTGCCACCATCTTTTCACCGGGTACCAAAGGGTGTCTGTCTTGTACTCACCACAGGATTCCTCCATTTTTGCCGTCTCGCTCATAATTAAAGTGCTATAAATCTAATATGTTTCAGTTTGGTTAGCTCACTGAAATCCAAGCAACTCTATCAAAGAAAGTGAAATTTGCCCAAAGCGCTGAGGTAAGTCAAAGATGTCTCCGGGGGGCCTTTATATAGTGCTTCAGTGTTTGTCAGCTCTTAATAAATACCCCATGACAGGGGTGTGAGGGCATGGGCTGATGGGCGTGTTGCCTCTCACTGTCCTGAAAACGACCGCAGGCTAATTATTTGTATTTATAGCTTTTAAAGACTTGATGGCAAATAGCAGGAGCTGCTGGTTTCTGCTTGAGCTGCTCCATCTGTTGCCCGAAGATCATACCTCTCACGTCCCGGTGAACGGCTTTCTGTCGGCGATGACTCGGCTCCTCAGTCTTGTCATGATTCAGGCATTCAGCCTTTTTTTTCTCAGTGTTTCGCCCCTCAGAGGACTCTGTGGCAGCAGCTTGTCTCTGCCAGAGGCTGAAAAGCTCCTGAAAGGCTGCGGGTTTTGTTAGCGTCAGTGTCAGGTCTGGGTGTGTGTGTGTGTGTGTGTGTGTGTGTGTGGAGTGCACATTTTCTTTTGCTGGTCAGTTTTCAGCAGGATTACTAGAGTTCCCTGTTTTATCGAGTGTGACAGACTTGTCAGTGATTCTTTCTTTTCTCTTCCTTTGCAGCTGCGTGCCTTGATACCTTGGCATATCGTCCAGTGGAGCACAGAACAGATTGAACAGATGTTTGTGAGACTGTGTGAGACTAACACACAGATCGTGTCCGTAGGATGAGCTCAGAGAGGTTGAATCGGTTTCCAAAACAATATTACCTTCTTGGTTTATGTGTCCAAAAATCATCTTCTTTGCTAAGATATTTATTTCAGCATTTAAATATAAAGAAAGGGGAGGTTTGGCTTAGAAAAAAAAATAGCACAGACTTTGCTTTTCTTGCGTTTGGGTCCATTCCTGGTCAGCCGCAAGACAAAAATAGACAGATATCTTGTTTTTTTATGTGTTGTGGTTGTTTTTGTTTGTCAACAATACAACTTTAAACACCACTCAGCTTTGAGGTTGTATAACAGGGATGGGCAACTGGCAGTCCGTGGGCCGTATGTGGCCTGCAGGTGACTTCTGTCCGGTCCGCAAACGAGGCC